GCCTTATGTTCCACTGGGAACGTAAAGGAATAAAATATTTAAAAAATACCTGATAGGTATAACCTACTGGTGATGCAATTTTTTCATTTATTTCACTTTCATCGTCAAATATCATGTTCACGGTGCTTGCGAAGACTTTAAGTCAGATTGTTTATTTGAGCAGTTTGCGTTTCTTATTGTGTCAGTCAGTTCGGATGAAACAGAAAATGAATCTGCTGGCACCTGATCAGTTTTGTGACTACAGGTTTTCAACAGTCTTTGCTCTTTGATTGTTTGGAGGATTTCATCATGAGCTGACATCAGTTAGACAACCATTAGAAAACCAACTGGGAATACTGGACAGCTGTTTTGTTGATCAAGTTTGGGACTCTTCGGCAGTGCGAACACACCGGCAGGGTTCGAACCCAAAACCTTAAGCCACTGGGACCCGACTGTCCATTGCCAGCGCATGAATTCTAACTTCTGACAATTCATAACATAGTGCGACTACTTCACAATGAGTTACTGCCTCACCTTCAACATGCTGCACCCTACTGGTCATGCCTTCCCACTAGAACCCCAGGTCACTACCTGAATACTGCCGCTAGTATACATCAGGTCATTGCAAAGTGGTCGCTCTATGTCATGAATTGTCAGATGTTAGAATTCATGGGCTGGCAATGAACAATCGGGTCCCAGTGGCTTAATGGTCTACGAGCTAGCTCGCCTTGTAATCAGAAGGTTGTGGGTTCGAACCCTGCCGGTGGGTGTGCACTGCTGAAGAGTCCCAAACTCGGCCGACAGAACAGCTGTCCAGTACTCCCAGTTGGTTTTCCAATGGTTGTCTAACTGATGTCAGCTCATGATGAAATCCTCCAACCTATTAGAACAAGTAATAATTTTAAGCAACATAGAGAAATCTTGAAAACATGATATTCTCACGAAGTAGAAGTTAACGGGTATATAAATTTTGATACAACGTATATACATACTACTGAAAATAAAATTTATTAGAAACAAAGGAAATATGGGGAAAAATGTATCTATTATAAGCAATTATTATTTACTATTGTTTCCTTGGGTTCCGAGTGGAATATAGGGCTTCAAAAGCACATCTCCACTTTGTTCTGTTTTCTGCGGTCCGCTACAGATGGGCTCACGATTGCCCATAGCCTCTCATGTCACCCTCTCGCCAGCGACTCACTTGTCGTTTCCCACTCGGGAAGGCACTCGGGACTGTGCCTGGCGCACGATGTCATTCAATGGTCTCCTCATTGGCGTCTGCCCAATCCATCTCCACTTTCTCCTACATATCTGCTGATCGATAGGTTCTTGGTTAGTTGAGGGTGTTGAGAGTCAGACAATTATAGATTTAGACCATTTCTCATATGAGTTCAGTTGTCTGCTGATTACAGTAGAAACGAGCTGATATATAAGGCACATCATTTGCCTGTCCCACTGCCAACCATTAATTTTTATTATTATTTCCTTTAATTCCTAGAGGAACATAGGGCTTCAGCCGTGCGTCTCCACTGCGTTCGGTTCTCTGCTAGAGTTTTCACCTGGCTTCAAGTCTGCCCACATGCTTTCATCTCCTCTTCACATGACCTCCTCCAAGTCACCCTTGCACTGACGACCAACTCGCCGCTTCCCTTTCGGGTTCCACTCGAGCAATGGCTTGTCTAGTGATGTCACTTGATGGTTTCCTCAGAGTATGGCCAATCCATCTCCATTTCTTCCTACCGATTTGTTTCACAATCGGTTCCTGCCGGGTTGGTTTGCTCACCAGAGATCTCTGTTGCTGATCTTTTCTGGCCGGCCATCTGATCTTGAGTATTGAGCGAAGACAGCTGTTGATGAAGGTCTGTAGTTTGTTTGAGGTGCTCTTTATGACGCGCAGTGCAAGTCTCTGATCCGTATAGTAGCAGGACTGACTTCACATTGGAGTTGAAAATCCGGATCTTATTTTTGATGCTGAGTGCTGTTGACCTCCACACAGACTTGAGAGTAGTGAAAGTTTGTCTTGCTTTTCCGATTCTTGCTTTGATATCCTCGTCAGTTCCGCCGGCCTGTAGTTGAAACGATGCTTCCATTGGTAGGTAAAAGAGGTTGTTTCTTTCAGGTTCCTCCCATTTATGCTGATTGTTGTCTGTTGTTGTTGTTGCTATCTCTGTTGGCCAGGAATCTTCATCACCTCTGTTTTCTCTATGTTCACCTGAAGTCTATCCTATCTGTGATGCTTCTTCTGCCAACTTGTTGCTTTTCACTTGCATATCTTCCAGTTTGTGGGAAATCAGACATATATCATCGGCGAAGTCCAGATCCTCCAAGTTTTTCGTTAGGGTCCATTTTATGCCTGTTTCCTCATTGCCCACTGTCTGTCGCATTATCCAGTCTACTGCAATCAGGAAAATCATTGGCGATAGTAGGCAGCCTTGTCTTACTCCTGTCCTCACTTCGAAGGATTCCGTAAGTTTCCCGTTGTGGATTACTTGGCATGCAGCATTGTCGTACAACTGTTGGATGAGATGTATAATTGTCGGTGGCACCCCGTAGTAGCGAAGTAATACCCATTAATACCCTTCACGATATGACACAGTCCTTTCTGATTAGCCCAGGAAAGATTAAGGGGGAACAATAAGGAATAATAGGCAAGAGGCAAAATTTAACAAATTTTAAAAGTAGAGGTTGAGTGAATCCTGGCTGTCCTAACTTCCTAATGTACAAGGTTAGACGGAACATTTTCTTAGAAATCAACAAGAAATGGGATGACCGACCAATAGAGGTCAGAGGATAAAACTATCCCAAGGTATTTTATGCTTGGCTTAGGTTTCCATTTCAGTGCCCTCTATACCACAGACATCTTGTGAACGGACCAGTTCTTGTAGATCACGTTTGTGTAGTGAGGTGAAGTTAATAGTCCGAAATTTAGAGGGATTCAAGGTAATACCACTGGCTTATGTCTGACAAAAAGCTATTCAGTTTGGAACAGTCAGACTGGGACGTAACTAGTGGCGTAATGGTCAGATCATCAGTGTATTTAACGGAGTTGATTTCATCCGAAAGAGGTAAGTCATGTTGGAGGAAACAGAAAACAAGAGAAGAATGAACCCTGTAGGACACCTGCTTCAGTAAACAAGGAAGAGGAAGATTTGCCTTTATATATACAGTGTACTATATTCTTTCAGAGAAACAAGAATACAGCCAGTTAACCGTCCAGGAATCAGTTGGTGTCACAGAAAGCTTACTTAACAAAACGTATCTAGGTACAGAGTCAAAAATAAACGTGTAGTAAGGGAAGGTAAAGTGTTCGTACTATATTTGATAAGCCTTCATTTGTGAGAAATAAGGATTGATCTTATATTTGGAGAGAGATATTTTATCGGTTACACCTCTTTTTCCGGTGAATCCTGATAAGTATGTTACAAATCTTTCTGATATTACTCTGTCTACTCATCAGAAAGAAGCTTTATCCCTTGGACTTAAATTTTGTGTTCCTCGCACGCAAATTTACGGATTTAGCCATCCATGCTGAGTTTGAAAACTTATATGACCAAGGCCAAGATGGTGGATATAGCTCACCAGTTTTTAAACAACAACCCAAAGGAGAAATGTATTTTAAATTCCCAGCATTTCAAAGCCTTGAAAGAGCTACGGGAAAATTCTAATATAATTATTACGAAACCTGATAAAGGTTCTGGAGTCGTCATTATGAATAAAAGTGACTACAAATCTAAAATGATGTCTATTCTTGATGATAAAAGCAAATTTAGCCGTGATCCCTCCTCAGAAGATATTCAGTTGTTGCAGCAGGGCGCAGTGACAGCTAATCTAGTGAAGCTTCATGGCTTAAATGCTATAAGTAAAGATAAATTTGACTCTTTAAAACCATCAGAATGTAAATTCCCGCATATGTATGATGGTTTGCCAAAAATACATAAACCTAATAATCCTCTACGTCCTATATTGTCAATGTGCAAATCCCCAACGCATAAACTTGCTAAATATTATTATTATTGTTCCCTTGGGTTCCTAGTGGAACATAGGGCTTCAACTGCACGTCTTCACTTGCTTCTGTCTTCTGCTGTACTTTTCACTTGCATCCATGTTAGTCCATACTGTTTCAACTCTTCTTCACACGATCTCCTCCATGTCACCCTTGGACGTCTTCTAGGTTCTTCACTTCGGTCCAGGATATCCCTGTCTTCTCGTTTCCCACTGTCTGACGCATAATCCAGTCCACCACAATTAGGAATATCATGGGTGATAATAAGCACCCTTGTCTGACTCCTGTGTTTACTCCAAACGCCTCGCTAAGTTTTCCGTTGTGGATCACTTGACATGTGCTGTTGTCGTACAGCTGTTGAATAAGGTTGATGAATATTTGGGGTACGCCGTAGTACTTGAGTAGTTTCCAAATTACTTCGCGGTCAACGCTGTCGAAGGCCTTCTCAAAGTCTATGAAGTTGAGGTAGAGGTTTGATTGCCATTCCATGCTTTGTTCGATGATGATGCGTAGAGTTGCAATTTGGTCAGAACATGATTTGCCTTTCCTGAATCCAGCTTGTTCTGGTCGGAGTTCTGTATCCAGTGCGTCGTTTATCCTCTCCAGGATGATGCGACTCAGAATTTTACTTGGCGTCGACAGGAGCATGATTCCTCGCCAGTTCTTGCAGAGTCCTAAGTCGCCCTTCTTTTGTAGTTTCACAAGGTAACCTTTTCTCCAGTCAGTAGGCACCTTTCCCTCTTTCCAGACCTTTTGCAATAATGGAGTCAGCATATCTGCTGTCGTCTCTGCGTTAACTTGCTAAATGGTGGTTAGTAGAATTATTGCATCCAGTCAAAACACAATTCTGTAAGTATGTGTGTGTTAAAAGATACATTTGAATTGGTTAATTTTCTTGCCGACATTAATATTATGAAAAAAGAATATGTACTCTTTTGATGAAAAACTCGTTATTCACTACTAATGTGCCTTTGCTCTTTCTTTTCATTTTTCTTTTTTGTCTTTAAATCATTAGATATGTTAAGTTCACGATCGAGCGGTAGAAGTGGGCGTCAAATAGAATCAGGCAATAGAACAATACGTTTAAGACAAGATGGAAAAGTTGTAGAGAGTGAAGTAAGCATTTTTTTAAAAGTATGATTTATTAGATAGATGTATAACACATCATATTCAGATGATTTTCTGTATTAAGTTTTTTCATTCTTTTTTCCATATACTACTTCTCTGGAATTCTGACAAGATTTATCAGTAGTATGTATATAAAGAGTTGTTCATCGTTACACAAAATATCATTTTTTTTCTTTCCCTTCGCGTTCCCCATTGGAACATAGGGCTCCAAGCTAGCGGCTTGAAGTTTCTGTAGCAGTGTTTATTTTACAGGATGGGGTTGCTAGCCTCATGCCCAACCTTTCCTCTTTACCAGCATTACTTCTGGCTCAACGAGGTAAAGGAGTGCGTCGGCCGGGAATCGAACCCCGGACCATGTGCATGGTAGGCGAGCGTCCTAACCGCTATACCACCGACGCACCGAAATATCATATAGCGGGGAGAAACATTTGACGCGTCAAACAGAGCAAATGCACAACCATTGCATTGCAGAAAAATAAGGGAGACACGAAATAAAGACAATACGAAGGGCAGAAGTGGTACAACACAGGTGTGAGTAAATGACGAGACATCAAATTCCCTGTAAACACTCCGTTACTAAGTTTCTTGTCTTCTATCGCTACAATTCAAACAGTATGCTTCACTCTATTAGCTATTTACCATCTGAATTCTCTTGCATCCTATGTAAACATGACTTTTGTGTTTGGGACGTGCACTTGACAGACTTATTGGCTTTTTTGTTGATCTCTCTTCTTGGAAATTGTCCAAAGAAAACTTGCTTTAACGCCACTGTCAGCCAAGAGTGTGTTATGTTTGTTATTCATTTGCCCAGAGTTAGCCTTCGCGAGCGAAAAGAGACCCGGGTTCTAGTGAGAAGTCGTGATCAACCAGTGGGGTACAGCAGGTCAGGAGTGAGGACAAATACTCGCCAGTGATGACATTGGCTAGTGCCAGCCACGCTAAATTCACTAACTGGTAGAAGTCAGAATTCATGGATTGGCCACTGGATCGGGTGCCATTGCCCGAATCGTCTACAAGCCAGCCTGGCTTATAACTGGAAGGTCGTGGAATTTTGGAATCCTGGAGGTTGGGTGGGTGTGTGCTCCTGAAGATTCGAAAATTAGGCTGTATTAAACAGCTATCTAGTTCAGTTGGTGCTCCAATGGTTCTCTAACCAATTCCAGCTCAATAATGACATCCTGCAAGCAATCAAATCGCTACAAATCAACACTTGAACAACAGGTTTATCAGTGAAGACGAGATAAAAGGGGCTAACTGGCTAATAGATTTGGTGTATGAAGGCGAGAAACACATTCATCAACCTGAAACCAATCTGGAAATCTTCATCACTCAGCATCAACAACAAAATTCGGATTTTCAATACAAATGTCAAGTCAGTTCTTCTATATGGATCAGAAACCTGGCGGGTCACAAAGAATATTTCCAACAGGTTGCAGACCTTTATCAACAACTGTCTTCGCTCTATACTGAAGATCAGATGGCCGGAAAGAATCACCAACAAGAAACTATGGGAACAAACACAACAAGAACCAATCGCCGCCCAACAAATATGCAGGAGAAAGTGGAGATGGATTGGACACTCGCTGAGCTGAGGAGGCCACTGGGTGACATCGCGCGTCAGGCCAGTGCTCGAGTGGAACCCGAAAGGGAAGCGGCGAGTGGGACGTCCAAGGGTGACATGGAGGAGATCGTGTGAAGAGGAATTGAAACAGTATGGACTAACATGGATGCAAGTGAAAAGTACAGCAGAAGACAGAAGCAAGTGGAGACGTGCAGTTGAAGCCCTATGTTCCACTAGGAACCCAAGGGAACAAAATAATAATAATAGTGAATGAATTAATGTTATGAACAACATTAATGTTTAAATAACATCGAATCAATAATAGTAATAATATCAATGGATTACAGTTCGGTAGCATCAACATAACACTGTACTGCGCTGAATATCAGAAAAATTAGGAAAGATAATAATACAAATTCATGAATTTATAGTCTCCACTGAAGGCTGACCAGGATAGTAATAGTAGTGGCTGGACTTGCTTCTTTTGCACACAAAACACTGGTTGTTTCACGCGAATCGCGATAGCCTCTGCTGTTTGGAGTACCTGGCACCTCGATGTTTTTGACAATTTATTTAGTACCTGATAAATGATAGAGAAGGATTCTTCAATGCTGGTTGGCTTTGTGGCCGGTTTGGACCAAGTGGTCTAATATCGAAATGTTGATAGTGGTTTTTACTACACCTTTACTTAGCCATACTGGGAGATGTTCTCGAGCGAGCACGAAAAATCAATTTTCTAGAGCAACAGCCGATATAACTCGCTCCACAAGCGTAGTTGGATTGTTAGATACAATTTGAAGTGGCTAGCTAGTCTAGGTACTTCATCTTCCAATCGGTCGTGTAGAAAATAAGACTTATCGTTTGCCAGAATTAAAAGTTCTTTGAATTGATTTTCTTAATTTCTTCGTAATTATTTCGCTAGGTATACCACCCTTGAATAATATTGATAATAATAATAGTAATGCTAATAATAGTAACAATTGTGGTAGTAGTAATAATAATAATTTGAAACGATTTTCATCATGAGCTGACATTAGTTAGAGAACCATTGGAAAACCTGGGAGTACTGGACAGCTGTTTCGTCCTAGTTTGGGACTCTTCATCAGTACGCACCCACCGGGACCAGTAGGGTGCAGCAGGTCGGGCGTGAGGACAAATACTCACCGAGGACATTGGCTAGGGGTCGCGCTATGTCGTGAATTGGCAGAAGTTAGAATTCATGGACCATTGGATCGGGCCCCAGTGGCTTAATGGTATACGAGCTCGCCTTGTAACCAGAAGGTCCTGGGTTCGAATCCCGGTGGGTGCGTACTGTGAAGAGTCCCAAACTAGGACGAAACAGCTGTCCAGTACTCCCAGGTTTTCCAATGGTTCTCTAACTAATGTCAGCTCATGATGAAAATCCTGAAACCAATCAAATCCCTACAAACGAGCACTTGAATTTAAAAGGAGTTAGGTAGGATAATCACTGATATGAACAATAATCTGTGCTCGAAACGTGGTCATCAGTTAATATTACTGTGTAACACTGTGTGACACTTTATCAAAATAAAATCTTTTACATAATGGAGTTACACTCTACCACAGTGCCCAAGTTTTATACTTATATCAATAATACACTGAAGCTTTGTTTATCGATTCAACAAGGCACACGTGTCATCTGAATAAAAGCAATGCCTGAACCGGCAACAAACAACAAGGCCGAAGAGGGAGAAAGAGAGAGAGAGAAGTAGAAACAGAAAAAATGTATGTAAAGACAAATTTTGACACCATCTGACTAAAATTGACATGACAGTTGTCAATAATACTGCCACATCATCAATGTGTGTGTGTGTGATACTTTGAAATCAAACTTGTCTCATATGGAATTACGTTACATAGTCTGGGCATAGTTGAAAGATAACTATAGTAAGTAACACATGTAGTTAAATAACTTGTTTTAATTAGATTTTATGTGTTATTGATATAACCTCCACACTAATATGTGTTTCAGTAATTGAAAAATACTTATCGAATGTGAAATGTACAGTTTTTCGGTACCCTGGCAACATAGAATTGGATGTGGCACAAAAATGCATACTCCGTCCTCCTTTATGGCTGTGAGACCTGGCCATTGAGAGTGGAAGACATGAAAAGGCCGGCTAGTTGACTTTGATCATGGATGTCTGCGTTCTGTCTCCCGTGTGAAGTGGTATAATAAGGTGAGCAATAGTGAGGTTAGGTGTCGAGTGCCAGGTTAGGAGGGGAAATCAATCAACGAGGCTATGAAGCTACATTGACTTCCCCGACGGGCAATGTTAACTGACATAGGGTCAGGCTGGAAAAGAGCTAGCGGCGGTCACACCAAAACACGACACCAGTCAATGAAATCCACAACAGTTAGTTTAAGCCACGTAGGAAGGTGTAGACTTCCAGGTTGGGGTCCTCGGGACGGTAAAAACCAATGGTTGGAAACAGTTGGTGATATGGCTCAAAATCTTTGTTGTCAATGGCGCAGATGCATCCACTCCTTGTGACTTATGATTTCCAATGAAATTACATTGTTCTTCATTACTACTATTCCTTTGTCTCTCACCTCTGTTTACTGTCTATATTATGCATTTCTTCTCTTGCTTTGTGTACTACATGGAGTGTGGCGACTTGAACTGCTGCACATTGGTGCAAAGTTCTATGTCGAATACAGACAGACAGACTTTCAGTGGACACTAGTTAGTAACTAATGTAATGTGTCGTCTCGTCCTTGGTGTTGGTTTCGCACTATTTGGCGCTCATCAGTCAACAAAGTGTATCTGCGACCACCGTGAAGGAACTCATGTACCTCTTCAGACTCGATCCCATGTCACCACCTAGTGCCACGGTCAGTCAGAGACGTTACCACTGAGCTATTCGAGCTCGCATAGGACTGACTGTATTAGTTACTTTGGCTGGACACTAGTCAGTAACCGGTGTAATATGTCTACTCCTTTGTTTACTGCAGAGTGAATTCTATCAGTCAAGTTTGCAATGTGGCCACCATACCACTAGGGGTGGCCCACAATTATGGTGCCCTTTGAATTGTTGATATTAGATGCAAACAAGACTGACAGAATTCAGTCTGCACCAATACCAAGGTCTGGACACACTACACTAGTTACCAACCAGTATCCAATCAAAGTACCCAATACAGTCAGTCCTACAGGAGATCAATGGCCAGTCCGAATAGCTCAGTGAGAATGTCTCTGACTGGCTGCAGCACTCACTGGTTGGTGACACGGGTTCGAGTCTGGGGAGGGACATGAGTTCCTTCAAGGCGGTAACAGATACGCCTTGCTGACTGTTGAGTACCAACTAGCACGAAACCTAGGTCAGGTATGGCTTCCTTTCGATTCCCTCCAACAATTCACAGTGCATTGGGATGGCGAACCAGCTAGAATGGTGACCCCACTGCAACGCTTGACGGATAGAATTCAGTATGCATCAATCAAGGGACTAGATACATATAACACTGACTACTAATTAGTGTCCAATCCAAACCACACTGTCTGTTTAGAATTCAGATCATCAGAAGAGTACACGAAGTGAATTACTGCCGTATAGCTGAGTTATTATTATTATTAATAATAATAATTTGCTTTATTCCAGAAACAGTACTAGTGGTACAGTGTGGAATTTTCAGCACATATCTACAATATTTGCATCTAATTTTACAGACATTTAAAATAAGTATTAAACAAACAAAAAAATAAATCTGAAGACACCAACAGCAAAAAAAACAGGATAAACACAAAATAATTATAAATGCGAAAAAGTACAAAAGTCTACCAAAGTCTAATGCAGTGTTTGTGGTGGTAGTGTGCGTAATCCTGAATAATACAAAATTTTTTAAGGTGGTGACTATGGCGTTCACAACCAATGACTGTCAGTGTAATATTGCCGAAAAGTATAGGAAATTAAAAAAAACAGCCACAAAACTAATATTACATGATGGTTAATGACAGGACAATTTTGTAATACCCATAGTGCTAATAGAGTCGGAACCAGTGGATACACAATAGAAGGAATATAGTAAAGTACAAAAAAGGAAGCCAGTGTTAATAATTTAGGTAGCTAAGTATGTTTGAGAAGGAGTTCACTAAAGAATACAAAATAAGAGAGAAATAAAAGAGCCTAAAATTATATTGTTAATAACATAGCAAGTCATAAGTTTCACGCTGAACATTGTCTCTCTCGCTTAGAACACGGGCCAAGTATGGTATCGTTGAGTTCCTGTACTTGGTTGTACGAGCATAGATTATTTTATACTATTTATACTATTTTGGCATAATTGCCTAAGTCAGGCTTAAAATAGGTTAGCCTACAATAACCGATTTTATTCTGATCATTAGTAAATGTAGGGTGATAAGAACACTATACTGGGAAATTTGGGTGTAGATGGCTCGGAGGTGGAATGTTCGCCAATCACGAATCACGTGATTCGGCGTTCAATCTCCAGCCAACAAACTCCCAAACCCCGCTTAGCTGCTAATAAATCGTGCAAAGAGGGAAGATTAAGCGTGTGACAAGCAATCCCACCATGTAAAAATAGATACCACTGCTACGAAAACTTTAAAACTTAAGCTTGAAGCCCTTTGTTCTGCTGAAAAAGCAAAGGAATAAAAATACTGGGAAATTTATTCAGAGCTGTCATTAATCAGTCTACTCACTAGGTTTTCAACCAGTTGAAACACTGCAATTCTATCACAAACCTATACACTATACATGTATCTTGTAACATATATTAATATATGCGCTGTGATATAGTTTTTAATTTTAATCTTCACGTTTCTTTTATTTTCTTTAAACCAGATAGTGGATGTTGAAGTCGAAGGTACACAAAGAATTAATAACATTCTTGGTGAGTGTTTAGGATTTGAAGACAATGAACTTGGTAAGTATAATACAATTTTATGAAAGTTTAATATACATCTCTTGAATCTCTTGAGTTGGTAAATATAATTTTTTAAATTACTCTTCAAATGGTAAAAAAATAATTGGTCTACAGTGACTTTCAGTGTTCATTGATTCTTTAAGTGATATACTGATTTGTCATGGCGTCCCTATTCAAAAAGAATACTTCAATTTGTGCATATTCTTGATGACGAAACGGTGTTTCAAATCATTTCTGTGTTATTCCATTATGGGTAGAATTTGATTTGATAAAGTCTCACAGTGCTATACAGTAATATTTACTGATGACCAAGTTTTGAGCACAATTTATTACTGCAGCTCATAATTATATCAAGGCACTACTCACACAACTTCCTAACTTCGTTTATATAATTCTATTATTTTCCATCGCCTGATTTCATTGGTAGTAATATTTTCTGCATTTCTGGCATGAGTGATGAGTCATTCCCATTTCACGTGTTGGGTGTAGACTCGATGAACAAGGATTCAGTAATCAACGTCTCTCGCTCTCCACCTGCCTATATTACTTATTATAATTTTAACCCTCTCCCAACCACCCGATTGTGTGGTTGTGTGTTAGTGCATGCAATGAAAGTGCTGAGCTTTTTTCTAAATTATTTATCTTCTCGAGGTCAACCATTCTTACCTTATTCAAGTGTTGGATTGTAGGGATTTGATTGGTTACAGGATTTCATCATGAGCTGACATTCGTTAGAGAACCATTGGAAAACCTGGGAGTACTGAACAGGTGTTTCGTCAGCCTAGTTTGGGACTCTTCATCGGTAAGCACCCACCGGGATTCGAACCCAGGACCTTCTGGTTACAAGGCGAGCTCGTATACTATTAAGCCACTAGGACCCGATCCAATGGCCCATGAATTCTAACTTCTGCCAATTTACGACATAGCGTGATCCCCGATCTATTAGTTTGACCTATATAGTTGACTAGTAGGTCGGGGCTAGTCAGATTGTCGGAACATAAGAATTTAGCTAAGGTAAGGATGGTTGACCCCCCTGAGAAGATAAGTAATTATACTCTACCACAGTGCACAAGTTTTATTCTTATAACATTTCTGTGTTAATTATTTAGTTGTTTTATACAATAATAATGCAGTGTTATGAAGATAAAGGTATGCAACTCTGCAATGACCAATGGTGACACAACCTAATAGACTGTGAGCAGTACGAACCTAATGTGTATGTAATCGAGCGGTAGAACACACGCCATCCACGACTCTCGTGGTCCGGAGTTCGACCCCGGTCGACACATACCTAGACTTCATTAAGACGGTAGTAAGGCCGGTATTTAAAGGAAAGTTTTGGCATGAGGCGAGCAACTACACCACGTAAAAATAAAACCATTGCTGTTGAAAATTCTAAGCTAAGACTTGAAGCCTTCCTATGTTCCACTCGGAACATAAAAAGGAAGAGAGGAGACAGACCGTGGAAACAGGGTTTAAGTAACCCTGACAAAGAGTTAGTTCACTGATAAGCCTAAAAAGAGCTAACAATCAATGAGAGTTCAGTTTTCCTAAACAGTAGGATATACCAAATGTGTGATGAGTGCATGGTAACTGCGAAATACCGTTATTCTAAAGTTCGAGCAAGGCAAGAATGAACCAGGATAATGTGAGCTCATTTTTCCCTATTATTATTTCGAGGATTCTCCACAACTGGCTGCATACAACATGAACAATATGTAATCTACATAAGTTACATCAAAGCTTTGAGCATACTTTCTCCACGATGACAAACAGTAATTGGTAGGGACTAAGAGTAAAATTAGTCAGGAATGGTGTGAGCTGTCGTTAAATAATTAAAAGACTGATTATTTATAGAAAAGTTAGATGACCATATCTGGAAACAAAAGGGCAGAGTTCAACAGATTTTCTGCGCGTAGAAACAGAGTATACCAGATGGCAGGTTACGTAACTACGGAAAATATATCTTTATAAAACAATCAAAAAAGGAGGGGGTTGGTAGGGTGAGTCAAGTTTGGACGGAAAATAAACAGCATAGAAGATGAAATAGTAAGATTTTTTGTATACTTTGTTATCACTAAAACAGTGCAACATTCCCCATAGTCTTTTTCTGCGTACATAGATTTGGTTTTAGTCATTTGGTGGCGATCGCTTCAGCAAAATGTAACGAGCTAGGTTTCTTTCGCTTGTTGATTATTCTGAACGCCTTTAGACTGTTCACAAGTTGGTCAGTGCACACTCTCACTATTTAATACCTGTGAGCCGTTTAGTCTCAGATTCTTTGGTATGTGTTCAGAAATGAAGACAATATTCCTTCTCGCTGTGCTTCCAATGTATGTGCCCTTACACGTACATGTGAATTGGTAGAGGCAGCTGGAGGTAACATGAAGTGGAAGTTTGTCCAATTTTGGCTGTTTTACACAACTGGTCGTTTAATAAGCATATACAAGCTTGGCGACTGGATATGGTATTTTGTATATATATATATATATATATATATATATATATATATATGCAGAAAGAGACAGTGGTGAATGTCGCACTGCCTTGGTGATAACCGAGTATACAAATTTTACTACCTCACCTTCTGTCCTGTTTAGAAAACTGTATTTTCCGTCTGAACCTAGCTCACTCTATTCACCCCCATCCTTTTTTGACCATTTTACAAAAACACATTTTCTGTGATTACGTAACCTATATTCTCTGCTATATTCTTTCTAGTTAAACTTTCTTTCTACCCACAGAAAATCTGTTGAATTCTGTCCTTTTGTCTTCAAGCATAGTCATTTAACTTCTCTATAAGTAGCCGATCCTTTCACTCTTAATTATTTGATAACAGTTTACATTAATCCTGACCAGTGTTTCACTTAGTCCCTACCAATTACTCTGTGTCATCTTGGAGAAAGTATACTCAAAACTTTGATGCAATTTATATAGATTTTGTATTGTTCATGTTGTATGCAGCCAGTTGAGAAGAATCCTCGAAATAATATTAAGGAGAGATGAGCTCACATTATCCTGATACACGAACATTTGTCATTCTTGCCTTATTCAAATTTATTAATGGGAAGAATTGTATGATATTTTAAAGGGATTGACAAAACTTTAGGCAAAATTAAGGACATACAGCAATTTTCTAGTGTGATTTGAGGGAAGCACTTCCTAGTTATACCCATGTGCCATCTTAAAAACTATCTGAACACTGGCCAGCCCACTGTCTGAAGCCTTCAAGAGTAGGACAATAATAAAAGTTGTTTCAGATTATCCCCTTTCAAACGGTGATTATTCATTCCTTTTGCATTCCGAGTAGAATATAGGCTTTCAGGGTTTATCGTAATTTCACTAGCAGTAACGTTGTTTGTTTCTCCAGGGTGATTTTGTTAGCCTCACACCCAACCATCCCTCTTTTATTCAGAATTACTATCAGCAAGTAATGTAGGCGAGGTTTACGAATCTGTCATCCAGGGAACCAGCGGGGACCACACACATGCTTGATAAGCATTCTACAAACTGAAACACCGAATTATCGAATACAAAGATTTATTCCTATTTGTATACCACCCACAAATTACTCGACAATTAAGATTAATGAAAAAAACAAAAAAATCACAATTCATTATGAAATTACCGATTCTAAGTGAATCAAACCACTAGTATAAACAATTTCTTAAAAAATGTAATCATATTATAATATCAAATTGTAAAACAATATTAATATTTGAGTGTTGGTCTGAAAGGATTTGATTGGTTACAGGATTACATCATTAGCTAACATCCATTAGAGAACCATCGGAAAACCAACAATCGGGTACTGGACAGCTAGCTGTTTTATCAGCCTAGTTTGGGACTAACTCTTCATCAGTACTCACCCACCCCACCACCAAGGTTTGAAACCACGACCTTCCGGTTAAGAGAAGAACTCGTAGACCACTGAGTCACTGGAACCGGCCAATTCATGACATAGCGTGACTGGCACTAGCCATTGTCACCACTGGCGAGTATTTGCCCCCACATCCGACCTGGTGTACCCCATCGGTTATGATCTCCCTCTAGAAGCCAGGTAACTACCTACATGAATAGTACCAGCCGCTAGTGTGCATCAGACCGATGAATATTGATAAATATCTATTCAGTGGCTTGACTAATTAGTGTAGGTGTTCGCCTAACAATCAGAAGAACACAGGTTGAAAATTCCAACTTCATCTAAACGAGTTTTGGACGAAGAGAGGCAAGTATTACCAATTATTAACCCTGAAACAATACGTGTTATTCGTCATTCAAATAAAACATTCCTCTTAATAAAACCTGAAACCGTAATACGCTTAAATGGAAAGAAAGATTTTTCTTGCCAAAAATTATTGGTCATGTCATTTACCTTAGAAATAGTTGATGACACTTGCATAGATTTCACAGGGGATAATGACTATTATTTATTATTCCCTAAGGTTCCGAGTGTAGCATACCGCTTCAATAACACATCGCCACTTTCCTTTATTTTTTGCTGTCCTCTTCAAATGAGCCCACAATTTCCAATAGTCTCTCATCTCCTCCTTACATGATGTCCTCCATGTCACCCTCACACTGATGACTCACTCGTCGCTTTCAAATGGGATTCGAATAAATGGCTTTCCCGGTGCGCGATGTTATTCGATGGCCTCCTCAGTGGTGTATGCCCGATCCATCTCCATTTTCTCCTACATATTTGTTGAGCAATCAGCTCTTGGTTGGTTTGTTCCACTGCAGAGTTTCTAGTTGTTAATTTTTTTCTGGTCGACCAGCCATTTGATCTTCAATATAGAGCCAGCGAAAGCAGTTGATGATAAAATTCTGTTTCTTCAGATACTGATTAGAGTTGGAAAAAATAAGATGAGGCCAATTCTGAACTAACCAATTCTTGACTGGTAATCTAGAGATTTACGAAAAGTCGATTTAATTATTTAATTCAATTTGGACCTTCCTGTCGACTCATTGGACCGAAGTGCTAGGCTTCTGTTGACATGTCGGTTCCTTGTGCGGATGCTTCGACGATGTCTGATGATTTGACCTGAAGTAATCTGGTGGGTGGTGACTAGCAGTGGAATGAAGGATAACGCGCACTTCACCCTCCTATTTGGGACTGGCTCGTCAGCTAGTGGATGTACCTGCATTCCCCAGTGAGTCCGTGATGGTGTTCCCACCGAGGCTCGAACCGAGTGCTATGAGACAGAGACAGAGAGGTTAATCACTGAAGCTTTGTGTACCGATTGAGCGCCACACATGTGCAAATGGAATGGAGCAACGCAATGCCTATACCAGAGAAATAAGAAGTAACAATAAACAACAAGGGGAGGTTGGCGAGAAAGAGGTGCTCACTAGCGAATGGCCATATTCAGGCAGTTAACCTGGGATTCTAGTGGGAAGTCGTGACCATTAGGCCACAGCAGGTTGAAGGTGATGCAGTAACTCATCGAAGAAGACACTACGAAGTGGTCGCGCTATGTCATGAATTGTCAGAAGTTAGAATTCATGGACTGGCCATTGGATCAGGTCACATCCCAGTGGCTTAATGGTCTGCGAGCTAGCTCGCCTTACAACCAGAAGGTCCTGGGATTGCCCCCTACCGGCGGGTGCGTACTGCTGAAGAGTTAGTCTCAAACTAGGCTGACGAAACAGCTGGCTGTCCAGTACTCCCTGCTGGTTTTCCAATGGTTCTCTAACTGATATCAGCTCATGATGAAATCCTCCAACCAATATCTTTCTTTCTATTTTAGTGGGGTTTTTTTCACTGTCATAACGCATTGAACCGACCGACCTTCAAGTTATTCTCTCTCATAAGTATGGAATTTAATCCCAGTATTATTATTTTTAATTTTCCATTTTTAGCATTCTACATTTACGAATTGGCTAAGTCATCCTATCTCCCAAGGGATTTAGAATATCATATCAATAATAGTAAATTATTTGATTTCAATTTACCCAGAAATTTGATCAGTAAACTATGGAGAGTAGCAAATCTACAAGAATACGCTATCACTACTGCACGATCATCACAGCATAGATATAATACAAATTATAATCCTACTTTTGATTTGAAAACAAATCTTTGAATGGAAAGACTGACTGACACCTTGCTGAACACAAATTTATCACTTTGCTATTATTTATGAGAAAAATGTAATCACTAGCTCTGTTGTACATTGATTATGAAGTCAATTTTCTAATTTATTTTTTTTATTATTTTACTCGCACTCACAGGTAGGTCACATTAATCAATTTGATGTGGATGAGTTGATGTAAAGATGTCATCCGCCTCCTTCTTTTGTGTGTGTATGTGTGTGCCGGTGTGTGTGCTAGGATATTTTTTGCATTGTAATTTCTTTTCTTTTCTTTTGATTATCCTTTTGTATTATTGTAAGCTTGCCTCTCTCTCCATCTCTGCTTATGCTTAAATAACTATGCTCAAAAATATACGCCTACTTATTATCATTTGTGAGTAGCATTGTTTATTTTGTTGACCTAGTGGACTAGTGGATTACACGTTGGTGTTTGAAACTGTGGGTGTTGAGTTCAAGCTTCAGCAGGGGGTAGGGTGTGGCGGGCATCGGCACGTAGGTATATCTGTGGTGGTGTGATACAGACAGTGTGTCCCAACGGAATATTATTCTCACTTGTTCCCACAGTTCAATTCGGCATTAACAACAGAATACGATATATCTAATAGAAATAGTGTGCGTCGATGGCATAGCGGTTAGGGCGGTCGCCGACCACGCACATGGTCCGGGGTTCGATCCCCGGCCACTGGACGCACTCCTTTACCTCGTTAGGCCAGAAATAATGCTGGTGAAGAGGAAAGGTTAGGCATGAGGCTAGCAACCCCATCCTGTAAAATAAACTGCTACAGAAACTTCGAGCCACTAGCTTGGAGCCCTATGTTCCACTGGGGAACGTGAAGGAAAAAAAAATAGTAATAATAATAATCTACTTTATTCCAAAAACAGTATTCATAATACAGAATGGAATTCTCAGCATTTGTCACAATATTTTGCATCTGATTTACTCAAAATATAAGTGAAATTAAAAATTAAAACAAAATTAACCAGAAGAATTTCTCCGCATTTACGATATGAAGTTCAAAATATTCGAAGTACGAATTGAGAATAATAATAATAACAGTGAGTTTGTTTCAAACAGTATTGTCAATTCAGTTTGAAAATTTTAGCATGTTATAGATTATTGAATTTAATGTTCTGTTGATATAGCAGCATGGTGAGGGGAAATACAAAATTAACAGTTATAACACAGCTTAAATGATGTTCACACTTATGAAAAAATAAACAAATAAAAACAAAAAATTGAGAGGATTATAAATATAAGAAGTACAATAACAATAAAGGTTGATGTTGTAAGGGTGGAGGAAATGGTTTATTTAGTAGTGCAAAGAAGGTTAGTTAGTTCATGCCTGACACTATTTTCATTGCCTATCAATGACAATGTCAACGATATGGCCCAATGGGATACCACTTGCCCTACTGACAGTCGTCAGAGTTCTATAAAATGTGACATAGTCTATTTTAAGCAATCTAGGAAAGAATAAGGGTGAACAGTAAAGAAGAATAGGTAAGATACACGAGTTAACAAACTGTAAGAGGCGGGGGGTTGGGTTATGCCTGAGTGCCTCAACCTCTTGAACATTCTATTTCACGTCGTCTAATATAAACCGGAATTACACACTCAGTGATTCGTTAACGAATATAAACTGTATATATACATAAACAGCGGTGTGATCACTTAAAAAATATACTTCGGCTTCCGTGTCTTGACTTCTGTGGTTATATTTGGTGTCGCTGTCTACCGACAAATGGAAAGCTTATGCCCTGCAGTTTTTGAAGAAGGAGACATATGGATCTTTTGGCAGGAATCCGAGGCTGTTACGCAGTTCAGTGAGCGATGAGACTGTTACTTGGAACGCTGCTGAGAGGTCAGACGACGGCAGCATATGATAATGTGAGGCGAAACACCGGTGAACATGATCCAGGGTCATGCAAAGTGGAAAGGACCACACATGGTCAACGTGAGACGGGGCCACGTATATACGATCAGAAATTCAAACAAAGAAGAGCGGGTAAACGTTAGCAAGCTCTGGAGCTCGACACAGCAAGAGAAGTTAACAAAGCTGCCAGCACCAAAAAGATCGAATCGACTTCAGTCGAAAGTTTCTGACGGGAGGGAGAACGAGTATGGTGGTGTGATACAGACAATGTGTTCCAATGGAATACTATTGTCACATGTTCTCACAGTTCAATACGGCATTAGCAACAAAATAGGATATATCTCATAATGATAATAATAATAACAATCTACTTCATTCCAAAAACAGCACTTATAATACAGAATGGAATTCTCAGCATCTGTCACGATATTTTGCATCTGATTTACTCAGAATATAAATAAAATTAAAAATTAAAACAAAATTAACTAGAGAAGTTTCTCCACATTTACAGTATAAAGTCAAAAATATTCGAAGTACAAAATTAGAATAATAGTAATAATAACAATAATAATAATGAGTTTGTTTCAAACAGTATTGTCTATTCAGTTTGGAAATTTTAACATGTTATACAGTATTGAATCTAATGTTCTGTTGATGTAGTATGATGAGGGGAAATACAAAATTAACAGTTATAACACAGCTTAAATGATGTTCACACTTATGAAAAAAAAATTTAAAAAATAAAAACACAAAATTGAGAGGATTATAAATGTGAGAAGTACAATAACAATAAAGATTGATGTTGTAAAGGTGGAGGAAAATGGTTTATTTAGTGGTGCAAAGAAGGTTAGTTAGTTAGTTCATGCCTAACACTATTTTCTTCCCATAAAGTACGTGCCAAATATGCTTAGACGTACGTGAATAAAGTCTTCTGGAAAGACTTCTTGTTTTACCTGAGGAGACACAAGGTTACAGCTGTGGGTGCTGCTATGGATGCTCACAGTCTGACAAAATTCCTTTAGCAAATTTTTGCATGACAACAAGTGCCTATCAGTGACAATGTCAACGATATGGTCCAATGGGATACAACCACTCGTCCTACTGACAGTCTTCAGAGTTCTACAAAGTATGAAATAGTCTTTTTTAAGCAATCTAGGAAAGAATAAGGGTGAACAGTAAAGAAGAATAGGTAAGATACACGAGTTAACAAACTGTAAGAGGCGGGGGGTTGGGTTATGCCTGAGTGCCTTAACTTCTTCAACATTCTATATCACGTCGTTTAATATAAACCGAAATTACATGCTCAGTGATTCGTTAACGAATATATTAACTGTAGATATATGTATAAACAGTGGTTTGATCAATGAAGAATATACTTCGGCTTCCGTGTCTTGACTTCTGTTGTTCCATTTGGTGTCGATGCCTGCCGACAAATGGAAAGCCTATACCCTGCAGTTTTTGAAGAAAGAGATACATCGATCTTCTGGCAGGACTTCAAGGCTGTTACGCAGTTGAGTGGCTTTCAAGATCTGTCAGCGATGAGGCTGTTACTTGGAACGCTGCTGAGAGGTCGGACGACGGCAGCATATGATAGTGTCAGGCGAAACACCGGTGAATACGCGCCAAGGTCATACAAACTGCTCCCAAAGTGGGAAGGAACAAACATAGTCACCGTGAGACGGGTTCAGGTATATACTATCAGAAAGGAAAACAAAGAAGAGCGGGTGAACGTCAGCGAGCTCTGGAACTCGATACAGCAAGACAAGCTAACAAAGCTGCCAGCACCAAAAAGATCGAACCGAATTCAGTCGAAAGTTTGTGACAGGGGGGCGAGTGTGGTGGTGTGATACAGACAATGTGTTCCAATGGAATACTATTATCACACATTCCCACAGTTCAATACGACATTAGCAACAGAACAGGATATATCCATTTGAACATTCTATTTCATGTTGTTTAATGTAAACCGAAATTACACGCTCAGTGATTCGTTAACGAATATAAACTGTAGATATATATAAACAGCGGTTTGATCAATGTAAAATATACCTTGGCTCCCGTGTCTTGCCTTCTGTTGTTACAATATCACCAATTGACAAATTCTAAATAAATAAGGAGGAAACATGCACCCTGGTTTTCATATCTAGCCACCACTAGATCATGGATGTTATTATTGTTGTTGTTATTTAGTAGATGGATTAACAATAAGCAACACTGTGGTAATGAGCTAAGCAAAGCTAACCTATCTATCGTCTAGTAAGTGGAGGTGGATAGGATATACACTGAGGAGGTCGTCGCGAGGCAGGTAAGACGCTTGAGTACGACCCGAATGGCAAATGGCAAGTTGGGCTTTGTTACGAGGATAACATGGAGGAGATCGTGTGAGAAGTAGAATAAATATTTTTTTGGGTAATCATTAAGATGGCTAAAAATGATTGCAGAGTACATGATGAAATGGAGTTGTTCTGTTGAAGGTATCTGGTCCTCCGGGAACCCAAGGAAGTAATAATAATAATATTTAAGTATTAGTTTGTAAGGATTTGATTAATTGGTTACAGAATTTGATCATGAGATGACATCCGTTAGAGAACCGTTGGAAAACTAGCACTCCAGTACTGGACCGCTGTTTCGTCCTCTTTTGGAACTCTTCATCGGAATGCACCCATGACCAAGATTCGAACCCAGGACAAGGAGTTCTAGTGCGAAGTCGTGACCAGTAGGGTACAGCAGGTTGGATGTGAGGATAGCTACTCACTGAAGACACTGGCGAGTAGTCGCGCTATGTCATGAATTAGCAGAAGTTAGAATTCATGGGCTGTCCATCGGATCAGGTCCTGGTGGATTAATGGTCTACGAGATCGGCTTACAACCGGAAGGTACTGAGTTTGAAACCAGGTGGGTGCGTACTGTGAAGAGTCCCAAACTAGGACGAAACAGCTATTCACTGCTCGAGTGCAGGTTTTCCAATGGTTCTCTAACTAATGTCAGCTCATAATGAAATCCTGTAACTAGATAATAATAATATTTGAGGAGACAGACTGACAGCCATATTGGTAGATGTATATCAGTGTATAGCATGATATTCTTTTGTTCTGTTCAAGTGATCATACTACGCCACACACTGAACCAAAGAAATATGACATGAACACACAGTATTTTGGTACAAGTATGGAATTTTCAGCACGTGATATCGGTAGCCCAAATTTTGCTGCCCGACCATTGATATCAACTGTGTGCGTCGGCCAGGGATCGAACCCCAGACCATGTGCATGATTGGCAAGTGTCCTGACCACTTTGTCACCGACGCAGATATATAAGCTAACAGTACTGTCTACAGTTAGATCTTCTCCAGGCTTTATTCTAATGTACGTAGCATTATATATAAAAATTTAACCAATAACTGAGTTTGTGGATCAAAAATGATAATCATGTAACGACAGAAGGCAAGAGTCAGGCAACAGATCATTTATTAAGGAAATCAACG